TGTATATATATATATGCACATACACACACTTGTTGATAATGGTATAGTGACTGGTTTTAAGCAGGAAAAACATTTACTTTTTCCTGTTAACACCAGACAGAACACCTCACTGCATCAAATATCAGATCATTTTTCTAACAGTGTTGGTATTGAGAGGAGCTGTCTGCTGACACAATGTGCAGAAACACATTTAGTCTATTTCTGTGCTGTTTATACGTCCAACACTAACAAACTGAGCACCGGCTCCATTCATCTTCTCTGACTCCTTCCTATAAAGTCATGAAACAAGATCAGGTTTCTGTTTAACAGTCTGAAACCTGCAGGATGGTAGAGCAAACTCTAATAAAGCTAGTTTTACCATATTTGGACAAACATGAATTTATTTATCCATTTTCGCAAAGCAAAACTGTCTTGAAATTAATTTTAAATACTTAAAGCCTATCGTCAGTTTTAAGTGCATCACTTGAGATGAACATTTTTATGATTAGCTTCAAATAATGGCACCGACTAGCAGCTTATTGCCATTCTAAAAACATTTTTTCAACTCTTTTTTTTTATAACAAAGCACCTCATGTCAAATTTTGCTGCATAATGTTGTGTTTTGTAACTTTGGTTTTGTGTTTCATAATGTGAGCCACAGCGTGTCGTGGTGAAAAGCCTCGGTTACCTCACAGCTACAGAGTTCAGTTGCTGGACTCGTTTCTGGACCTGCATGGAAACCAGAAACCTGAAAGAAAACCACCTGAGAGGATGAGTCGTCAGAGTTTGTTGTAAACGTGACGCCGCTGAGGAGCTGTAACAACTGCTAACTTATTGTGTTTGATCTGTAAAGAGACACTCAATGATCCCACGCTTTACATGGACGATTAGTGAAAATACTTTGAATAAAACACAAAAAATAAATTATCATAGTAATTTGTGTTAAAGTCAGTATTAACCGAGCCAACTTCGTTTCCACAAGTTGGCACAACTTTTCTCAGCAGTGCTGCAGAGTCCCTCTCCTCTCATCATGGCTGACAATAACAGAACTGAGCTGCTGCTGAAAGCATAAAACCAACAAAACATAACCTGACCATCTCCTTCCTACACAGTTCTGCTTGATTCTAATCTCCCTCCTCTGCTCCATCTGGGATTTCTCCCATAGACAAGGATTTCTCCGGTAGAATTTTAACCGGGCCAGTCAGCGAACAGGAGGGGGAGTTGTGAACGAGGACATTGATTTTCTGCTGTTTTAATCTGCCTGTATTTTATCAACGGCAGCGGAAGAAGTGAATGAAGCCAGTCCATGTTGACAAGGCTTCCAAATAAAATTAAATTTGTCTTTTAAAGCAGCAGCATCATTTACAGCGGTCTTGTTCAGCTCAGTACTTCTTCCCGGTAGAGGATGGTTGTTTACAGCCCATTCAATTTCCTGTTAGCTTCTTAGCTTAGCTTCTTTAACAGTCGAGCTGGTGCACTACAGACGTAACGGCCAAATGTTAGTGATCAGGTAAAATCAACCCAATCATTTTAAACTTCAAAGGCCACGCCTCCAGCAAGAAATCCTCTCTCAATAGCTGAGAGTCCAGACCTTCTGTACAAAGCAAAGCGAAGAACAAGGGGCTGTTTTCTTTTTTTTTAAATATGATAAATACATCTGTTAAAAAAGTATGAATTTAAAGTATTTTGTGCTTTAAGGTAAAAGCAGAGTAAAAGTCCTTAAAGAGCATCAAATCAGGATGTTTGTTTTTTTACTTTGATGCCTGAGCCGCACTGTCTCTTGTTCTTAGAGTCCCACGTGGGAGTGTCGGTCCCTGAGACAGCATGCTCTATCATGTAACAGTTTTTTGAAATCAGAGCACAGACCAGTCTTCCTGCAAGCTTTCTCTGGCTGTTCCCAAATCACAGATGGAGCCAGCGACATCCCGCTCAGACATGAGTTTCCAGAAATGAGGTGAGCTTCGTGGAACCAAAAGAGGCGTGGATCAGAGCTCAGCTGAGTTCTTATGTTGCTTTTAAAACATGATGAATTCACTCTATTTAATTATCTTATCTGTGCTCAACTAGCTTTTCTAAGTATTAAATTAATAATTTTTCTGTAATAAATGTGTTTTTTGTTGTTTATTCTCGTGACCGAGTGGTCACACAGATCATACATCATTTATCTTTTCACATGTCGACTGATTTCAATTTGATACAATCTCACCCAGCTGCTCAGAGTCTTCTCTGGGTTATTTGCTGAGGCTTTACAAGTAGCTGTGTCAGCATTAGTGGTTTAGCTGTGCAGATATTTTTTTTTTTTAAATTGTGGTCTAATCTCATGTGCATGCCTTGGAAATCTGTATTCTAGGTTTGGCAAATTAATATGCTGCCCACCTCTGCTCACTTTGTATCCATCTCACCAGCCGCTCCCATGTTTATGATTCAATGTTCTGGAGTTTGAAATTAAGATAAGTTTTTTATAGGGTGATCAGACCAAATGTTTTACATCATGAGGAGAACTCCCATTCAGGAGAAAAAATACAGAATAGTCCCAGAGTCCTCACAGGAGCTTCAAACCAGTATTTCTGAGATATATAGAAAAAAAAACACAACAACAACACATGGTTGTTGGGACACATGTCAGGATTTTCCGAAATCAGAGGCTGGAACTCAGATCTGGGAACAACTTAAACCTAAAGTTCCAAATGCAAGACAGAAAGCTAGCAGGACTTTCTAACTTTTCTGCTCAGTAACAAGGCTAACTATTATTAGCCATGCTTATATACAAACTTCACAAAAAGTCAGTAAATTAATGTTTGGTAGATTCATCTTTTTTTGCAACAATGGTTCTATCTTGGGCCTCTGTCCCTGGGTGGGTCTCGGGGAGCGGGGGAGCCTACTGGGACCAGTGGGGGAGCTGGCCCCCTGTGGGAGCATTCTTGCTGCCTCAGTTTTTTCCTCCCCATCCCCTGCCGCAGACCTCCACCCTCTTCATTTTCAATTGCACTCGTAGGGTTTTTGGGACACAGGTGTGTTACAGTGGCAACAATTCAACATCTGTTTGCAGTGGCCACCTGGGGCTCCAATTTTACTGTACACCATAGACATTTATTCATAACCACATAACATTTGAGTTCCGGTTGAGGCAGCGCCATGTGAGGACGTGGGTCGGTGAGCTCCACACCTGAACCAATACATTTATGATACAGCTCTTATAAAATTACGCGATATAGCCCCACACAGGCTGCTTTACATATTGGACAACAAACAATCATTCAGGTATGCCTAAAAAATCTCAAGCCAACAAGTTCGGACAGGACATGGGTGCCTCAGTGGCAGAAGCTAGCTCAGCTAACCTAGCTTGCTCAAATGCAATAATGGCGACTGCAGCAGACAACCAGAATGCCATCATGGAGGAATTACAATCAATGAG